TGGTCTTTGGGCTCCAGAATCCTTTCGTGTGTAAGGCTTGTGCACCCGTTGCGGGACTTACATCCCTGGGCCATATAAAGGGTCACCTCTTTCTGTCCCCGCGGCACCGACATCGGTGGTGGCGACAACACCACCAGCACCCTTAGTGGCGCGATCATTGGGAGCGGGCGAGGCCACTCGTTCCTTGCCTTTGTGTGGACACGCATGACATGAGTGCCCTATACGCCAGCAAAAGAAACATATGGTGGGCAGGTTCTCATATACAACTCGTTGATTCTTCCCATTAATAACAAAGTTGACACAAAGTGGTTTCGAGAGGTCCACCAAAACTGCAAGTCAAGCATATTTCCCCCGAGTAAATGCCGTAGTTTGTTGGTCGATTTTGACCACCCGACCGACAATCTTACCTATCGTGCGAAATATATTCTTATGATAGAGATGAGCCGGCAACCCGGGCAGGCGAATCCAAGCAACAATGGACGTGATCTCTGCTTATCGGACATCGAAGTCTAGCGTCCAGGGTTGAACATGCATATAGCTTCCTCCAATCACATACGGGCCCCCTATGAGGACCGTTGTCGCGTCCTCTGGGCTACTAAAGTAAATGAGGTAATAATTATTCTCGAGGTCCATCATGGTACAGCCCGCCATGAACGACCAAAGCTTAGTGAGACGGTTATACAGAGACGCCAACGTTAACGAGCCATCGAAGGGCTTAATGACGACCACATGCTTCCAATTGTTGTGTAGCCGGTCAAAAAACTCCTTCGCAATATTGATTTCCGGCACCTCGCTGGTGAGGTGAACCGAGACCTCCTCATCACCATCGTCCTCCGCTTCGTCAGGCTCCGGTGTCAAATCCACATGGCTACGGTGTTTATTAAGCATGTCCTGGAAAAGACCAGCGCTGCTGGGGTGGGGGGGGTTGCTGCTGGGGAGGGGAGTGGGTGGATCGTCGCTGGGAGGGGGGGTAGGTGACCGCCGTTGGGAGGGGAGGGGGAATAACGGACAGCACCGCGGCTAGAATCGGAGACGGGGGTTGGTGGAGATCTAGGGCATCACCAGCCCGCTTGCGAACACGCAGTCGCTTCGAGGCATGGTACAGAGAGTGCGCAAGAGAGGGAAAATCAGTCTCGGAGAGCTTCGAGGATGGGTCATCGCCGGGGTCAAAGGTCGCCGGACCCGGAAGGCGGCTGTCGAGGGTTTCGTTGGCTTCGGTCATGGATTATAAAACTCTTTTGGCCTGATTAGTTTAATATTCGCCATGGTT